CATTCCGGTTTTGTTTTTGCGGCTAATAAAGTATGTGGGCCTATAAAGCAATATGAGTCGCCTAGACGACAACTCGGGCATTCATAATCATAATCATATAACCCCCTACCACAAACAGGAACGGAGCAATTGGCAAAAAACTTTCAATTTCACAAGTTACCCTTTAGCGCCTAAAGGAGGTGACTTTGAAGAATTAAACTATCTGAATGTGGTAGATTCAAATGTGCACTTTACATAGAGATGTTTACGTCCTAAATGGGTTGAACGCAAGAGTGACAATCGAAAACCCAAAACCTCAAAATACCTAGCAACTTCCGGCTTTGTTTTTGCGGCTAATAAAGTATGTGGGCCTATAAAACAATATGGATCACCTAGACGACAACTCGGGCATTCACAAGCAACATCATATACCCGCCTACCACAAACAGGAACGGGGCAGTTGGTAAAAAACTTTCAATTTCACAAGTTACCCTTTAGCGCCTAAACAGTGTGACTTAGAAGAATTAAGCTATCTGATTACGGTAGATGCATATGTGCACTTTACATAGAGATGTTTACGTCCTAAATGGGTTGAACGCAAGAGTGACAATCGAAAACCCAAAAACCTCAAAATACCTAGCAACTTCCGGCTTTGTTTTTGCGGCTAATAAAGTATGTGGGCCTATAAAACAATATGGATCACCTAGACGACAACTCGGGCATTCATAAACAACATCATATACCCACCTACCACAAACAGGAACGGGGCAATTGGCAAAAAACTTTCAATTTCACAAGTTACCTTGTAGCGCCTAAACAGTGTGACTTAGAAGAATTAAACGATCTGATTACGGTAGATGCATATGTGCCCTTTACATAGAGATGTTTACGTCCTAAATGGGTTGAACGCAAGAGTGACAATCGAAAACCCAGAAACCTCAAAATACATAGCGATTTTTTAAGTTTTTTCGGTAATATTAATTTGTTAATACTATAATAACATGAAACTTTCACTTAAGCGCAAATCAGTAAAAGTGATGTTTTTCGCAAATCAGTAATTGTTTATATAATTTTGTTAATGACTTAATAACATAAACAATTTACGTTAGTGCAAATCGTAAAAATGCATGTTTTTTACATCAACTTTCACTTAAGCGCATATCAGTAAAATTGATGTTTTTCGCAAGTCAGTAAAATTGTTGTTTTTCAGTTTAAGTTAAAATCTAAGAGAGTGCTATATTTTCCAAATGCACTGGTTATATGAATTTGTTAATACTGTAATAACATGAAAATTTTGCTTACCGCAAGTCAGCAAAATTGATATTTTTCAGTACAAGTCCAAATCTAAGAAAGTGCCATTTTTTCAAAATGCGCGGGTTATAAAAATTTGTTAATACTGCAATAACATTAAAATTTGACTTTAGCGCAAATCAGAAGAAGTAATTTTTTTCAGTATAAGCGGTACCTTTTTCGAGATAATAATATACAATTTACAAGAAAATCAACTTTGAGCCTAAATCTAAGAATTTAGAGCCTAACAACAAAGTAGTCACTTCGTAAATACTCACTGCTAAAAACAAACGGTTTGACACATACATCCCGTTTAGAGACAAAACTGAAACCATTTTGACGAAACAGAACTGCTGGTGGCTATTAACTGATATTGAAAACTAATTCACTCCATGACACATCTGGTCTGATTTCTTGTTCTTCTTTTAACCCTTTTATATTATAAAATCGTCTATGCGTCGTTTTTTTACTTTTTCCTTGCAAACAAATATAATACAAATATATGCTATATATCTACTAAGTTAATATATAAATAATATAATTAGTTAATAAAATGTTACTAATTATTGATAGCGGAGTACATAAGAATCATCTGAAATCAAAAAATAAATAGATTCTGTTAGTTTATGAAAAGATTTTGTCGTTGATCGAAGAAATTAGTTAGGAAAATTTCACTTTTTCCCAAAATGGCACCTTCTTAAGAAATAAATAATAATTTTCGTTTGCGTACCTCATTCAAATTGAAAAATAAAATTTTGTCATGTTTTATATGCGAAAAATTGTTAATTGTAAAACAATTTGTTTGTTTTATTTCTTATTTGTATGCTTGGGATTAAAAATTTTCATTTTTATTTTTCAATCCGATAGTATTTTTATTTTCTAATCCTGTTTATGTGATAACAAAATAAAAAAAAAATTTATTCATTTAATTCAATTATTTTCTAATGCCATACATGTCTAAGTCCAGAATATCAGGAGTTTAGGCGCACCCGTAGATAAAACAGTAAAATGATCTTATGTTATGCATTTCTATAATTCCTTTCCTTTTGAACTAGTAAGTCTTGAGCCCCACCAAGGATGTTTGACAATGAACGTGGTCCCTAGTTTGTAATATTCTAGTTGTTTTATAGTAAATCGTGGTGGGAAATATAATATACTGCGTAAACAGTTATATTATAAGATTCGCATTTAACTTTAACACAGGTTGCTTGAAGTTGAGGTCTTAGAATTCCTTCTTCAATTTTGTATTTTATGGTTGACCTTATTAAGATACCTGCTCCCCCATGAGCTTTACCCTCAAGATGATCGCTATTAATAAGATCATAACCTTTAATATGAGATCGTGATGTAAAATGTGTTTCTGAATTTAGTATAGCGTCAATATTGTACTTTGAAAGAAATGTTCCTAACTCAGGGATATGGTTTACTAAACCATTTGCGTTCCATAGTGCAAGTTGTAGATTTATTTTCATGTTTATTAAATTATGTGTCATTTCTAATTGCTTACTAAATATCATTTCAATTTTGTGCAAAGCAGAATTTAGCAAATGCCGAAAATCCTCTTGTTGCATTATAAATAGTACTTTGACCAGAATGAATGAAATTCTGTTGAGTAAATGAACTTATAATTTATGATTGAGGCTATTACTTTGATTTAAATTTTTCTGTCTAATAAGTTTTTGGTGTACATTAAAGCCTCTATATATCGCTGGATGATTTTCAAGACAACACATTTTGCAGGTGAGTCTATGCTTTTAGGACATTAACGACTAGGATGATCAAGTCCACACTTAACGCAGTTGAATGGCTTTATACAATAAGTGGCGATAACATTGCACAATGCATTCGACTTAATAGGTGGCTCAACAAATACCAGCGTTTTAAATCAGTATTGTTTTGTTCTTATTATTGGGTTCAATAATTGCAAAAACAATTGGCAATATTTTTTTATGTCCTAGTATTTCCAACTGAGTTTTAATATCTCTATTATCAGTTTAATGGTGTAAATTTTTAATTACGATTCAGTAAGCTCTTTCTAGCACGAAAATTGGTGGATATTTTATGGCTACTTCTCTTTTAAAGGCTGTCTCATCACTTTCACCTTGATTGTAGTTTACTGCTTCTAACTCAGCAAATTCGTTATCATTTGATGTCATACTTACCTGAGTTGTCGTTTAGTATTTGTATATTATTTTTCTCCGATAGTTCAGTGACGATCTTCTTACATTAAGACCTATAGGTCAATATTTAAATAGCAAATATGTTTACTTAATTCTTTTCGAACGTTTCTTATTAAATAATTTACCAAAATCGATGTAAATGTTGTGAAATATTTTTCAAATGTATAGTTTAGTCGATTTATTCAATAATTCTATTTTTTTTTTTGTTGTTGAATTTTTTGAAAAATTTATTCTAACAAAACAATTTAAAAATAAACACACTGCACATCTTCTTTCGCGTCAAACTCCATTCTGCATGTGCGGCTTCCTTTTCGCACACATAAGAATTATGGACGCCCCAGTGTTGGATCGACCAAAGGTCCCCAGTGCAGGAAGGCGTTCCACGCGAATGAATTATGAACACCCCGATGTTGGATCCACTAGTGTTATTTCTTTGAAGCGCGGCCGAAGGCTGCCAGTTTAGTATGGATGTGTGAAGTAATTTAAAATAAACTTCATTTCTTATAAAATGCACTATAAATCCGTATTTGAACATATTCTAATGTATACATTGTTATTAAGTTAAGTAAAAAATGTGTTCAAAGTGTTTTAAATATATTCATATATACAGATAAATATATAGAAATTATTGAAAAAATTTACTTTCCGATCACAGATTTGTCATCTTCACGTCAAAATAAGCCGATTTAAAAAAAATTCTAATTTACACGGACTCCTTCGTTGGGGGCTAATTCCATACATTTACCAAATATTTTTTAAGAATTTACGTTGTCTATTAATGTATTACTAGGCATGATTAAAATAATACATAAAATTGTAACGAAGCATGACTATATTAAATTCTCTTCGATATGTTAATTATTTTATATTTCATTTTTTGATTTGTGTTAAAAGTTTGCGCAATGCTGCAAATACTCGAAAAATTCCCCACAAGATAGTTAAAAATAAGCTAACCGATAGGTTATCAGTAATTAATACATTTGTTATCCGAGAGGTTACTTTTGTTCTAGCCTAGAGAAAAAAGTAAAGGCCCATTCGCATACAACTTTCATCGTTTTGCGTGACATTTCACACTGAAACAACGAAGCGCAGAAATCAAAAGGTATGCCACAACGAACGATTTGATTTTACTGTTTCTTTCTAATAAAAATGGCGGTTGCTAGGCAAAACGTAAAAAGATGAGAGTTGCTTAAAATAGTTTGTTTGGTTATTGCTATGGTTACCTATAAGTTACAGAAAACTTGTGCATCGGTTACCTTGTAATTTGCTATGGGTTATTTCGTTGGCTATCTTGTCCTCATTTGAAACTTTTATTATATTTTTATTTATTTTTTGTATTTACATGTTTATACAATTATAGTTCTATTTTTAAAAACTTTTTGTAAATATTTTAGATTAGCTTTTAAATATTAGCATTTTTATATACATATATACATTACAATCTGAATTCCTTCTTATAACCTTTTAGTAAGTATTTTACACTTGCTTTTATAAAAAAGATATATTATTATATACTCGTACAAATACACCTTACACAATAAATTTCCCTTACATATACAGTATATTATCATTATTTTTTTGTTAACAGTTTATTTATGGTTTATAGATAGGTAATATTAATTGTACGCTAATTAATCAATAATATTCTAAATTAATTAATTTAGTACTTAATACCAAAAGGTAAATTAATTTTTTAAATCTAAACTAACGAAAATGGTGATATTGTAGTCCAGCTTAAGAACTTCCCATCGAAATTTGCAAATGTCTAAAATGAGTAAATAAGAATTTAAAAATATTTTTTTTTGTATATGTTAAAATATATACATATATTATCTTTTAAAAGTAAATGCATGCAATTTGTCTACAATTCTTTTAAAAAGTTACAATATTTAATATGCTTCTTACCGTAGATATGTTATCTATATGTTATCTACGGTGGCTTTCATGTTAAAAAACGTCAAATATTGTACTGAAATTTTGACTTAGAATTTTTCGTTTGGTTCCCGTAACCAAACAAATCTTAAGGTAACCAAACAAAGGAATAAGGTTAGTTATGTTAATGTAATGAAACAAAAAAATTCAGTTGTTAACAATTACTAACAAAACAAAAGATTTTAGATTAAAATGAAGAAATCTTCCACATTAAATTTTGTGTTAAATTGAACCAGAAGAAGAATTTTAAATAACAATTTCAATATATAAAATATATACCTACTTAACATAAAAATAGACAATATTGGCCACTTATGATTATATTATTTGTAATTATATATTATTATAATGTCAAAATATGTCCTCAATTATATATAACATCTAAAAACAGTTACATAATTTACTTACTTGTGTTCAGGAGCCGTCCACTATTTGATTGATCCAGATTTTTTGTTAACAAATCAATCTCACCCATAAACCATACGAGCGCCTTGGCCGACAGACGGCTCTCCTCCGCTGCATACTTCGTGGTCAGCCTAAAGCGCACTAAGTACTGAAACAGCAATGTGGCAATTTCAGTTTGCATACGGGGCTTGTTAAAGGTAAAATAAAGTGGTGTGCGCTCTCAATATATGAAATACAAAATTAATCATGGTTCTGCGAACCTAAACGAAAGGCACCATAATTTTAGGTCCTAGAAATAAAATTAAAGAAGTGGAGTGAAAAACAAAGAAAGTGTAGTGACTCGACAAATACATGCACACATACATATACATATGTAGTCAAAATATAACTTTCAGTAAAATTACCAAAAAATAAGTAAAAACTAAAAAAGAGCAATAGCACTAAAGAAAAGCAAGAACAAAAAGTTTAAATTGTGAAAACAAATACAAAATTGCACAAACCCACTATTATATGTTACATGCATATGGATATAATAAAAAAAAACCCACACAAACGGGCGCAGAACCTAAAAAAAACCAAAACAAAAATATATAAACAATAAACTAAAAACATACATAAATTGGGCGCGAAACTGAAACACCTTAAAACAAAACCTAAACAAAAACAAATATTCGCGCACGAACAAATTTAGCCACAAAAATACAAACAATAAACACCAGAGGCGTCGAGAAGGCTAGAATGTACTGTGTCGTTCGGAGCACACCACCTTGCGTAAGGTAACGGCCAACACTACAATTTATTTAACAGAGGACTGTCATCTCGAAAGACCAATAATACGTAAATGTCTACTATGAGGTGAGGATAAAAAATTCGTAAATGTCTTCTATGAGATGCCCGATTTCAATCTAATACCCATTTCGCTAAGGTTGCTGCGTATCGAATTGAAATATTCCAAGTTTTGGGCAATTACAGCTTACTGAATACAAGTAAGTAAATTATATAACTATTCTAGATGTTATATATAACTGAGGCCATATATTGGCATTATAATAATATATAAGTATGAATAATGTTTTCATAACAATATTAGAAGTTGTTTATTCTGCTTCATTTTAACACAAAATTGAAATTAGAAACTTTCTTCATATTTACCTAAAATTTTTTGTTTGGTTAAAAAATGTCATCAGCTGAGAATTTAACATTTTGTTAGTCAATCGTTTGTTCCAAAACAATGTTAAGGTAACCAAAGGAAATGTTAAGTACCATATTAAATATTTTAGCCCTCAACCTTTTATATGAGTTGTGTATAAACATATATTTATTTTTATTTTTAAAATATAATATAGATACTTTACTTTAACAAATACAAAAGAAAATAATTTAAAATTATTTGTTATTTATTTTATATATTTGCAAATTTCGATGGAAAGTTCTCAAGCTGGACTTCAATATCAATATCACCATTTTAGTTTTTAAAATATAAAATTTAAGTTATCCATTAGTATTAAGTACTAAATTAATTATTTAAAATATTATTAGGGTGCATGTACGTGACTAATGTGCGAATATTAACAATTAGTGAATTAATGTTACTATTATTGTAAACTATAAAAGTTAAACAAACAATATAACATATCTATAAACCATATATAAGGTTTTTTCCAAGCAAAATAATTATAATGTAGTATATACATGTTTGCCCAAAAAATTATTGTAAGAAGGAATATTTAGTTTGTTGTGTATATACGTATAAATGTATAATTGCTATATTTGAAATCTTATCTAAATTAATTACTAAAATTTGTTTAAAAATTATTATAAGAAAATTTGGTCTGTAATGTAATATGCTATTAATTAAGAGCTAAACTAAAATGATTACTAAAAGTTTGTAAAAATAGAGAGGAAAAATATAACATAATGTATAAACATGTAAACTAAAATAATTTTATAAATAAAAATTAAATAAGAATTTCAATTGTTTTATTTATAAGGAAAATGGTAATCGATACGTTTGGCAGTGGTAACCAATGAATAACCAAAAAAAATAACCCATGGAAGCCGTCAAGGTAACCGATCAACCTGTTTTCTATAACCAATGGATAACCAAACAAATTACATATGAACCAGTTTTCTGTAACTTATAGATAACCATAGCAATTACCAAACAAACTATTTTCAGTAACAGATGGCTAACCAAATACATAGTCAATGAATTTAGAATTAGAATTTGTATGCGGCTTGTACCGCGACCTAGGGTTTATTGTGCCCTCTCCTCCATCACATGTATTCCCAAAGGCCCAGCACCCTGACGAACTCCTGAAACCTGCTGGGTGCTATTGAGGTGATGTGATCCTTGTTCATATAAATGGAACCGAGGGCCTTGAGCCTGCGTCTACAAATTGCTTTGCAATCTAGAATCTAGAATGTTCTGGGGTTTCCGGCTCCATGTCGCAGAAACAGCAGTTTCCATAGAATCCTGCAGTGCCCAGTGTAGAGCGCAACAAGGAGCCGGAATTTGTCTCTGGGGAAGTTGAATATAGCTTTGAACCTAACTAGGTGCTACCCTTCCTATAGCCGCTTAGCATGAGATCGCATTTAGCGCCGCTTGGCTTAGCCGCTGATTGAAGATTAATTACTGCACACTGACTTATAGCATGAGTATGGAAAGCTTGGTATGCGATCCTGCAATGCCTGTTCCAATGCCCTCCGGTGTTTTTGAGGCGTCAGTGTACCACTGAATCGTGCTGCCTCTCAACAGTGGGTCGGGTGTGGAATCACTCCAGTCCGCCTTACTGCAGAGAGGAACTTTAATAATTTTCGTTAATTCTACCCTTTTTGTAACGCCGTCTCTAAGAAGAAGGGCCAGTGGTATATTTTCCTCATGAGCAGCATAGTATGCTTCGCAATATGTTTAATCACTAGATGGAGCGATGTGAGCGCTAGCATGACCTCAAGTGCTGCGGTGGGGCAAGTGCGCATTGCAGGTAAGTCTTTGAAGCTTCTATAGTTAGACATATCAAAGTCCGCAATGCTTTCGAAGCCAAGACCACCGCTCCATATGTAATAAATGATTGTTTTTAACGGGTTGATTTTAACCCTACCGTATCGCACCACCCTTTGCTAGGCTTAAGCCCCTTTGAACTATATCGCAGAGAGTGTTCTCAAATTCTCCTCTTGCCATTAGACAATGTCGTCGGCGTACCCTTGACATCGAATTCCATTGTTCGTAAGCATCTCTCGTTGGCAGTTTTGATAGTATTTGTTCTTTTCGTCGTTGTTGGTCGCTTTCATGCCTGAAACACAATGTTATGAACAGAAATTTATCCCTGGTTTTGGAGTTTCGGCAGCCGTGACGGGTAAATTTTAGAATAGCATCTCGCGAATTCGGGGTTAAAATGTGTTTTTTTTACTTTTGTTCAATACTTTTTATTCACACAATAACAAAAGAGTTGCAGTCTAACAAATAATCAGTGTTACCTTATCAACATATTTTACGAAGAAACCAAAAGAAATAAAGAAAACAGATAACCCCAGTGCAGGAAATAAATAACACATTATTAGTTTTTCATCCAACAACTTAACACTAACAACTTAAGGCCCAGTTATGAATACATAGCATTGCACTACCATACATGAGAACGATCTCATAAAGAATCTGTTTAATAGGTTTTTCATGTATTTGATTACCAGGGGCATGGGCATGACAGAGAAATCTATTGAATCTTGATTTCTGTGCTGTTTGAAATTTTTAGATAAACCATCGCTGCTCTCATTTTCTCTTTTCGCTCATCGCGAGCCGTTGATTGAGGAAGTGCGGGCATGCGACATTTTGTATAACAAAACGTGTCTCTGATACCGGTTGCCGGATAAAATGAAGGCTGCATGGGCAAACATCGCCCGAAAGCTAGAAGCAAAATTGGTAAATTTATATATATTTATGTGTTGTTATAATTGTTTACATTGTGTTTTTACTAGAAGAGCAATGTGTAAAGCATTGGCAGTCCCTACGTGAAAGATTTACTAGGAAAATACGAAAGCTTGAGGCCCTTTCTGGCCACTGCTGAAAAATATGGACTTCTTATAACCGTTTGTTAAGACTAGACCGTAAGTTCATATCTATTTACATGTAATGTATTAAATACATATTTATTATTTTATAGAAATCGCTGCACGTCAAATATATTTGATATCCAAAACTCTGTCGGCATCAACTCCAGTATGGCGGAAACGAAGAAGAGCAAGCAGCGACGATGACGGCAGTTTAAATAAGCCGTTGAATTGTACAAAGAAGCGTGTAAGGAGCGGGCTTCTCAATAAGGCGGTGAGATGGTGCAGGCATTCGGAAAAATGTTGGTGTCAATAATGACTGATATGAGCTAAGGTAAGCAGAAGAAAGTCATACAGGTGCTTGCCAAGAATTTAATGGCCATAAAAGCGGAAACAGAGAAATTTAAATTTAGCCATGTCTGATCGTCTGTTTTTTTTTAGTCTGTTGACATTTTACCGAATGCTTGCACTGTCTCGCTACCTATTCATATTTTTCATTTTTTTTGTTCCTATGTAATTGTACCTGCATATATATAGTAACTGAATTACTTTGTTCATATGTACCTGCAGAGCAGGCAATAGCTTGAAGAATTTGTTATTGAAATTATACTTATGTATATATATAGACGGAATTACTCTGTTCCTATATACTTGTATCTACATATACATATATAATATATTTGCATATATATTGATTGAATTATTTTGTTCATATGTATGTAGAGCAGGTATGTACATTTATTCATTTTTATACTCTCGCAACTTGTTGCTACAGAGTATAATAGTTTTGTTCACCTAACGGTTGTTTGTATCACCTAAAACTAACCGAGTTAGATATAGGGTTTTATATAATATATATAAATGATCAGGATGAAGAGACAAGTTGATTTCCAGGTGACGGTCTGTCCGTCTGTCCGTCCGAACGGGCAAGCTGTAAGTAAAAATTGCGATATCTATATGAAACTTGGTACCGTAAGACGATTGGTAGTGCAGATGGGCATAATTAGACCACTGCCACGCCCCAGAAGGGCTTGACCAAACGTAGATTGCTGGAAAACTCTTTGAAATAAAATTAAAATAAGTAAATATTAAAATGTTTTAAGTCATTTAGTGTTACCTCCGTCACTTTGTCCGCCATAGCTACCAATGCTGGCAGATGTAAACGTAGTCGGCTCG